TTCACACATGTGTAATACATATCATGTATGTTTCTGGCAGGGGATAATACTCTGTCAATATTTTTTCAGTTACAGTTCTTAGAGCTTTACTCAACCAAATAGATATTGTCCTTAACATAGAAGTGCAAGTTGAACCTTATTAGTAGTGGACATGTTTATTCATAGTTCCTTTTTAAAAGCTATTATTCCATTTTTCCTTGAGCTGATAGATAGATAGATAGATAGAGATATATAGATACATACTGCTCTTAGTTACATATTGGTAAGCAAGAACATACAGCAGGCAGAAGTGCTTCTGGACCCCATAATGAGTTAGAGTTTTAGCAACATAGCCAGCCTGGTTTCAAAGCCTGAGTCCACTGTTATTGGCTGATGACCATGGGCAATTCATTTAACTTCTCATAGCTTGTATTTCTCTTTTATTAAATGAAGGCATAAAATCACCCACTTTATACTTTCCTTAATTAAGTAAACAAATTTTGTTCAGGAATCACAGAGGAAAAGAAACATCATGGTAAAACCGGGCTCCATTCTACTTACAATATAAGCCCACAAACAGGATGTTGGGGCCAGAAGATGGAAAACACTAAAAGAAAGCAATAAGATCAGGGAAGATTCTGGTTAAACAGACCTAACGGCATTCTTGCTATAGTCAGGTCAGGGAGATTGGATATCAAGAGTGACAGATGGTGGGCCGGGGATTTGGCTAAATGGTTCTGCTGCCTGCCTCACAAGTGCAAGGGCCTGAGTTCAATCCCCCGTACCAAAAATAAATAAATTAATTAATTTAAAAAAATATATATATAGTGTGACAGATGAAAATTTGATGAGATATTGAGGTTTATTAAGATTGAAGATTCTCTCTAAACTGGCTTAGCGTAGTCTTCTTTCCTTAAATAGGTTGATGGAGGCCAGAGGGACACAAAGGTCAACCAGGACAGTCTGACTAAAGTTCAGGCAAAGAGTATTTGTCAATAGTATTATGAAGTCATTAAAATTGTGATAGCGTTTGAGATAAGTCAGAGTTTAAACAAGAAGAAATTGTATTATCTTGACACTTAATATTTTTGTAGCCCTTATATGAGATAAGCTAGCAAAAGTGTTAGTTACTATCATCACCATCACTGTCTGTCACCAGGATCATCGCCATCACTATTGCCATTATTATTACCACCACCTCTGATTCTCCCACCACACCAAGTAGGGTGCCCTGAACTTCATGACATCGACCAATTTTCAGGTTGTATAACTCACTCAATCTAGTGATCAGTTATAAAATTGGAAGGAGATTTGCCAAGATTGTACATTAAAATTTTTAAAGCATTTCCAGTATACATGGTTCTAATTTTGAGAGGCAAAAAAAAAAAAAAAAAAAAAAAAAAAAAACTTAAGCAGATGCTCAAAATAATCCTGGAAAATAATCTGTGTATATCAAGTTTCTAGTGTAATTCTTGGCACATTGTGGTAAACATTCATTAAATAGTCTTGAAGATTAAAATTGTATTTTAATCACAGTTTTGCAAAGGAGACACAGGTTTAAGGAGGGTGATTTGCTGAAGCTCTTATAAAGAGGAATGTTAGGTTTGGATTCTCCTTCATGTGGTAAATTATGTGAAACAAAATTTTATTTTGTGTGCCTAATCACACAGGTGCTATTATCTTCAGTAAATGTTGTCTTTAGGAATCTTGGGCAGTGGAAAATTCCTCCAGAGAGATGCCTAATGGTAGACATTTTCCACATTACTTATCTGAAGAGCCCTTGCGTCAGATCTCTCTGATGTGGGGTGAACAGTGGCTCTTAACCTGGGCAGCTCTTTAGAATAACCTGAGGGGCCTTACAAAATTGGCACAAGCCTTAAAAAAAATTGCACAAGCCCCACTCTGCAAGATTTTGCTTTGGTAAAATCTTGGTGGCCCCAAGGCATCAAAATTCTCAAAATTTTTCTAAGTGATTCTCGGAGAGGCCTAATCTAGTACTTTCCATTTAGTCTTTTGTGGTTCTAAGTTTTCTATGTATTTATAGATTTTGGCACATTGAAATTGCATTGTCTTTGTTACTTCTCTTTAAAAGGGATATTTTTAACTTTCAAAAACTATAAAATGTCATCAGAATTAGGCATTTTTGCTCTTCTGAGACATAGAAACAATTAATTTTATGGAGAAATTGCCAAAATTATTCAGTATGTACATCTGAGATACTGCTGGAGTAGTAGGCAACTTGTGTCTTTATTTTACACAAAGCATTTATCTATATTTTTTTCTGAATCCACTCAACACAGGGAATCTTGATCATAATATCCATTTGAAATTTTCAAAATAATGGCATTAGTTTCATATACTATAGTGTAGTGATAAACTATATAGAGGTGATAAAAATAGTAGCAATGCCTTTATTGATCATATTAGGCAGTTAGATTAAGGTTTAGTTATTGGAGCTATATGTCCTTATACATCTCAAATTCAAAATGAATGGTGTTTGAGCATTCTGAGATGTAAAATTTAAATAAAAAACTATGAAGTGGGAAGTGCAGGGGAAAGAAAATAAGGGAAAAGAAAAATATGAGAAAAGAAAAAAATTGAAACAAAGTCTTTGTAAATAGGAGAGGGTGGAGGGAGTGAAGGGAGGGTAGGGGTATGGGGAAAAAGGAGAACCGAGATCTGTCGTGTACAGGTACAAGATCTCAATGATGAATGTGACTGTACTGTATACTTAAAAAGTACCAATAAAAACTCAGTGAAAAACTATGGACCCTAGTGATCATGTGTTGCATTGTTTTGGTTGAATATTCAAATAATTCATCTGGTACCATAGCAGACTCTGTGCTGATGCATTAGTCATTTCTTATAATAATCCTAACCCTATATGTTAATGGAGAGAAGTATATAACAGGTCCTTGTAAGTTCCTAAGAGAAGGAGGAAGACCTCATCAATAGAACACACAAGGAAAGTTAGCATGTGACACCTCCCTCCTATCACCAACATGGTTCTCATTACAATTTTCTACCTCATAAAAAGCCCCCTCTAGTTCAGTCTAAATTCTCTTCAAGGTGGAAAAGATTAATTCCCAATGATTTTTACATTTAGTGTGTTTTACATTGAGTTATTTGTTTGCTTGCCTTTTACTAACACCATTTATAATTCACCCCCTCTAGAAAGTCTCACCTTGCTAAATAGAATATGATTTCATTGATCTCTGGATATATCTTTTGATAATGTATCAGAAGCTATAGATATAAAGCCATGATAACATTCTATATACAAAAGCACATGGCAGAATGTCCCTTTTATTTCTCCAATTTAAGCAACTACGGCCATTCAACATTCTCTTCCACCTACCTGGGCAATATTTATTCCTATCAGACTCCCTTTCATGTAGCTATCTTCAAATCTCTGCTTGGCTGTTTTTGTTTTTGTTTTTTTTTTTCAGGAAACCTTTGATCTTCCTCTGCTTATTGATTTATATAATCTTGTAGCATCTTTCCAAGATCTCACTTTCATACTTTCATAAGTGGCCATTTGATTACGCTGTCATTTTTGAAACTCTGTGTTTTCTTTTATTAATCAATATGTTTCTAGTGCCTGGATCCAGTAGATGACTAAATGTTGAATGAATAACTGAATCAGAAACTGTGATTTTGTTTTGAAACACAGCTGGAGTTCCAATTCACTCAACAGTTTTATAAAACTTAATTTTAAAAAAGCTAATGGTTTATATAATACTTAAAAAATGAGTGGTTTGGTTACTTCAGTGGCACTGTGCCTGCCTTGCAAGCACAAGGTCCTGAGTTTGATCCCCAGTACTGCAATCAAATAAAAACAAAAAATTAGTGACTTGAGAGTAACTGCAAAAATAATAGATTTTATTAAAATTATTTATTATTAATCTAAATTTGAAACATAAGCTATAACCTTTTAAAGCTTTTATAGTCTCACCTTAATGAAGCAATTCTTTTTCTATTGTTGAAGGACACTGACCTTAAACTGAAGAGACACTAGAATTTGAAGATTTTTTTTTTTTATTCTCTTTAGTTTTTGTTTGTTGTTAATTTGTTTTTGCAGTACAGGAGATTGAACCTAGGACCTTGTACATGCTAGGCAAGTCCTCTCTGACTGAACTATATTCCTTATCCCTTCTTATTTTTGAGAGAGAGTCTCACAAGTTCAAGCTGTCCTTGAACTTGAAATTCTCCTGCCTCAGCCTTGGGTATGCACCACTGTGGCCTGTGTGTTTGTTATTTTCTTCTCCCTCCTCTTCCTATCCCTTTCTCTCCCTCTCTTCCCCTCCCCTACACAGCCCCCTCTCCTTTTTCTGCATGATGATTAGCTGCCTCCCAAACTTTGGCTAGAAATCAGTACCTATGACAAATAGCCTTTCGTTCCTAGGTAACTAAAAAGACAATGCCCCCTAGAGGTGAAAATATTCTGAAAAGTTCACATAAAATAGCCTTAGGCTTTGCTGCTTGCCTGCCGTGGGACACAAACTTCACTTTCAGCCTAGGGAGCTAAATTCAGGAATAGCACCTATCTCATTTGAGGCTTTTTTGATCAATAAGAACTTAAAATTTTAGCTTTTGCTTGTGACTTTTTATAAGAGAGCTTGGAAACTGTTTTAACAAGCGGTTAAACTGTACCTCTTAGTGAAGATTAGGGTAAAATGTGCAGGTGTGAAGAGTAGCGAGCAATTAAATTTTCCCCTTGATTAAGGTTAATATGGTCTTTCCAGTAATTTTGAATCAACATTAATACACTAACCTGCGAATAAAAAGAGAATGGAATTTGAAAGAACCCTCTCTGTAGGCCAGGAGATTAGCCAATTTTCTTAATGGAAAGTCCTGCTAGAAGCACTGGGGGCACTTCCTCAGCAGTGCTGGTTAAGCCAAGCACCAGCTGACAAACGATGAAAAGTGGGTGTGGAACTTATTTTCATATCACTGGATACCTTGTAATAGCAAACTATGTGGTCATGCATGTTTTATTCTCTCTTTGTTGTGCTTTCCAGAGTGATAACCAATTGGCGATAGAGTAACAAATGAAAAGTAACCTGACTCCATTAACCTGCTTACCTCTGCCTGGGAATGATGGAAAAAAGCAGCCTTTTGCTTTGAAACGGTGGAACAGATATGGAGTAGCTCCTTTCATCGTGCCTCCTCTTATATTTTTGCTCATCTAGTTCCAGACCAGTTGAAAACAGCAAATTGCTCATTTGAAAACAGTCGGAGTCACAAGAACAGGTACTGTCGGTTATTTGTAACATTTTTGAATTGCCCCATCTTCAGTTGCTCACTATATAAACACTAATATAATGAAGAGATAATTATATTCAGATAGTAAATAAGTAATCATACTAAAAAGAGTGGTTACTTTTCAAAACGGGATTGCCATTTTGGATGGATGCTTAGCTTAAGGATACGTGATTTTGATTATGAAGATTTTGCTCTAAATAGATTTCATAGAAATAACAACAAAATAGTCCAGCATGTTGGTTTCCCTAGTAACAGCCATAAAACAATGTTTACTGTGTTTAAAGAGCTAATATCCTCTGTCCACATCCATTTTCTCAGTCATGAAGGGACCTACAGAAAAAGGCATAGTTTGATTTTTTTTCCACTTTTGAAAATTCACGTAGCAGATACAGGTGAAGTTTCTTTCACTTTTAAAGGAAATTTTTATCTTAATATGAAAAATGTAGAACACTATTCCTAGGACTCCTGGACTGGGAATCTTTTATTCTTATTTTGAGTCAATGATCATCATCATCAGGGTTCTGTACATTCTCTCATTAGCTATTACCCAGAAACAGGTGAGCAGCGTAGGATTCGGTAGTGACTGTACAGTGGTCAGTGTTTTAAGAAATGATGATGTTAACTGAGAAGACTAAGTATTATATAATTGGTGAATGCACCTAAATTACTTAACGACTCTACATGGAACCCTCCCCAAATTGGGTAGCTTATACATGAGGGACTATGAATAAATAATGAAGAATTGACTTTTGCATAGGAATATTAGAATTCAAAAGACTATATAAAGGAACTCATATTAACTATTTTATATAAGGATTTAAATAAGGTTATGGTTCCATTACATATTTAAATTGTTTAGGAAGAGTTTTTATAGTGCATCTTGTGCACTACTATGTAGTTAGTACATCTCAGGGCATAATATATTTTTGTTAATGAAGTGTTCTGACATATTACTCTACAGATTCTGAGACTAAATATCATCTAAATCAATAATATATGAAGAGTCTTGTTTCTAGCTCATGAAAGAGATGGAAAAGTGTGTTGTTGTGGCTTTGATGCATGAAGCAAACTTATAATCTTTTCTTTTATGTTTCAATCCATAGAATTGTTTAGTAATTACGTTGACTAATTTCTTAGCTTCTGATATAATGCAGACTTTTAAAAAATAATTTTTTTCAAGTCACTCATTTCAAATAATGATTAATCCACATTTAAAGGCAATAGCTACTGGATTTCACTTAGCAGAAATAAATTATAATGTTAGATTTTTAAATGAAGTAATGCCTTGGAAAAGAACAAACCAAAGGAAAAATCTTGCTACTGTCTTTGTGAGTATGAGTTTCTATGTATGAAACCGAGAAGTGGAATCTGCTTTCTTTTTTTTCCATTAGAAAAAGGAGTGTAAAAAAGCATGGACTTAGAGCAGGAACACATTAATCCTACACTGCTTCCATGATTGTTCTCTGGAAGGGTTTAACATAATCCCCTTCTAAGCCCATCTCCCTTGTCTTGCACCTACAACAAATTTGAAGGAGGCAGCCTTGGAAAAAAATTACAAAGGCTACTACAGGGCTTTCACAGGCTCCCTGGGCTACCTTCATCCTAAGTAGAAAGGATACTTGATCAGGCACAGGCACCAAACCGCTAGGAACCTCAATGTTTTCCTTGTGAAAAGTGTGAATGTTAATGGTGAAGCAGCTTTGCTCATACATATTGCTGTACCAATGCCAATGCCAAGTTTAATGCACCCCATCCCATAGCCACCTTTTCAGCAGAAAAATAAGTAAGAAACAGGAGTTTGGGAATGGAAAGAGAAGAATGTTTTGTTTTTTCTATAGGCAGCAGGAGCAAATTTAACAAAGACCAGAAGGATGCAGGACTATGGGTGATGTGGTTTCCATAGCTCTGAGAGTAGCCAGGGCCACTCAGAGTTATCTTGGGTAGTTTTGACTCATATTCATTCTTATCTGACTCACATACTGGGCCCTCAACAGGAGTTCCTAAATTCTTGCATAACCTGTTTCCTAATTCTCCTTTGGGAACTCCCCCCTGGTCTACATACAGAATTAGTGGCTTCCCTGAGGGAAGTAACACTGCAGACCTTAGATCCCATTGAACTCTCCCTTGGTTTCTGTCTCTTTTGATCTGTGGTCAGATACAAAACCAAGTTGCATTTGTTGAGTGTTGTCACTATTCAGAGTTCTTGCAAGGGATAATTGAAATACTGGGTATGAAAATTATTTATTAATTTTAAAGCATCTACAAATGTCAAGGATTTCACAATGCAGCACACTAGCAAAAACAGACTTTAGAATTTGATAGATCTGAATTATAGGCTCACTCGTGTCAACTTGGGAAAGTTATCTTACTTCCACTGGACTCAGTTTCCTCATTTATAAAATGGTACAGCAATGCATAAGGGCACATGCTTGCTACCACTTACAGGTTACCAACTAGTTGTTTTCTAAGATGCTTCATAAGGTGGCATTAATCACCATATCCTGAACACATCATGATTAAAACAGGAAAATACTGTCTGGTACTCAGCATGGTAAGCTCAACCAGCTGACTTGGGCAGCACTCAGAGAGACACTGTTGAAAGCTAGACTTCTTACATTCATGTTTTATTTATATATTTTATGTTCATATTTTTGTTGGTATATTTCGTTAAAGGAAACGTTATCCTTCTCCTTGGGATCAGATTACTAGTGTCAACATAACCAATCTATGCCTTCCCTGTGGGCAGACCTCAGGAAAAGGCAAATCATCTGAATGCCAATTTATTCACTCACTATGAGACATAATTGTCATGTGGGCCAGAGCAAAGAACCAAATGCATATGATCAGTCTATTCTCATCCTCATTGAAGGTCTGCATAGGATGCCAAGTCATAATTAGAAGGTGGGTCGATGAGCATGCAGCGAGATGGGTCAAATGTTTGAGAGCATCGAGATGAAATTGCTGGATGGGTTTCTCTTAGGCAGAGCTGCCTAGCCAATGGGACTTGAGTCTTTAAGTCTTTTCCCCTTCAGTAGTGTTTAAATGGCCCGGTCAGCGTTTGCCTTTGAATTTGTTTTCTATTCATGTCCATATCTAAGCACTCTTTTGAATGACAATGCAAAAATAATCAGTAACTGTCAGTGGCATTGATGAGGTGGGATAAAAATATATAGTGAATTTGTTTGAACTTCAAAATTTATTAAGACACATCGATCGCAATCATCTCCCCTTAAAATACTCCCCCTTGCTGTAAAGATATTTACATCATTGTAACCACTTTCTGAAGCAATTCTGGAAGTCGTCTTTCATGTCTTTACAAGGTATGATAAAAAATGCTGTGAATATTGTTGCTGTCCAACAGAAAGGCAAACTCATAAAAACATTACAGTGCGTCCTCATCAACTGTATTCATGAGATTTGGCACTGTGTGACTTCCAGCTCTTCCCAAAATCAAAATGACTGTGAAAGGTAAACTTTCTGAATTAATTCAGGATATTGAAATATCCATGACAACACAACTAAAAAGGTCTCAGAAGAAAAGGACTTCCATAACTCTTTCAGAAGTGGAAAGAATGACAGGTTAAGTGTATTGAAAGCAAGGAATATTAATGACAACTTTTATTTTACTGTAATAATTTTTAAAAATGTAAGTAAGCATTTACCATAATTTTCAATCATACCCTGTATACAATTATAAGGTTCCATCAGGTCTTGCAGAGTTCCAGCCACTAAGGAGCTCAGAGTATGATGGTGAAAGAATTATAAGACCAATCAGTGAGGTTGTGCTGAGCAGAGTATTCCTCTTGCTTCTAGGCCCATAGCCATGGGAATATATAGCTTTGCTGTTAGATCTCAGCTGTACAACCACAAGTTCCCACTCCCTGCAAAATTCTCCCAAAGACATACCGAGGTTAAGGGAGACTTACAGAGAGGGGCTAGCTTGAGTGTCCATCCTTTACCCTATCATTTTTGTTTCATTAGTCCACCCCACCCCCATTTTCTATTTAGAACATTGATGTTTTCTTAATCCCACCAAAGTATATGTAGATATACTGCTCTCTACCTTCTTGCTCTTTTTGGGTACTAAGTCTTTCTTATATTGCAACTCTGAAGACTCCAATGTCTAAACATTTCTGAGAATCCCTATGGATATTGCAAATGTTTTCAGAAATAACACTGGGGAACCTGATAGGGTAGTCTTTCATCGGACCTGAGAGTAGATGGTAGCAGCATCTCCTGTCTGCTCAGTCATGTCCTGGGAGTTTGCTTTGACTATAGGAAAATACTGGCCTGATCCTGCGCAGATGCTGCTTTAACTGTAATGAGGTTTTAAGGCCCAGACCTTTGTCCCTTAAAGAGGGTTCATGAAAATATCTCTTCAGTTTCTAACCTTTCTGTCAAGAAAGCTCAAAAGCATGTATTTTGATGGAGCAGGGAACCATGCTACTGTCTAGTCAAGGCTCCCCTCATCTTCTCTGTGAAGTAGATCTCACTTTGAGTTAGATCTTCCCTCTTCTTCAGCCTCCATCCCCAGGAGTCCTCTTTCATGATGATTTATGCAAGAAGATAATGGAGAGGATCACTGTTCATCAAGTCCGTATGGATCCAACATCAGGCTTGACTGTGAGGACTGTGACAGAAAAATATGTACCAAGTTCTGTGGAAATGAGTGATAGTATTATTAGCAGCTCAGACTTTCACTTTTTCTGTGATTCTATCCCTTGGTTCCCACACAAGTTTAGCATTTGTTCTTGAGTAATTCAATAGATACTTATCAAGGATCTAATATGTGCCAGACACAGTGCTAGGCCTCAGACGAGACAATTCCCAAGCAGAATCTTCATCCTCCAGAGCATTCCGTCTTGTTTTGTTTGACCACCATACTCAGTACTTCCCTAACCCTTAAAACTAGTTTCATAATTGCTTTATTCTTTTATGTCAAGTATTAGTTTGCAACATTCCCAAAGGCCTAGCTCACAGTAGTCTTTGAATAAATAATTGAATTATCTTTTGTGGGTATTATCATAATCTGTTTGGAAGATGTTTTTTCAGAAACTTGTAAACGCTTTTCCCTAGATTAGTGATTGCAAGATTCAAGAAGCAAAGAATCATAGCTAGTCAGGGAGTACAAGACCCACAATCATGGAAATTGTGCATCTCTGTGCTTTGTTAAGTTGTACTCTACTATGATCAACTTAAGGGAGTTATGGCATCTCTCTTACTTCATGAGATAGATGATGAACAATGAATTGTTTTTATCTTTAAATTGAAACTATTTCCTTTAGATGTTGAAAATATGGGGAAAAATCAATGAAACAAAGATAACTATTTACTGTACCTTTTTCCTCCTTCATCTCTTGAATTTTTCTCCACATACTTTTTTTTTTTAACCCAGACTGATCACTATCCTTCTTTTTCTATTAGTAATGCCTACACAATACAGCTGGATCTATTTGGTTTGAATATCTTAGTATATCTCTCTATTTTGCCCAAAGTGTTCTTTCTCAAGCACCTGGAAGCTACATCTAAATCAAAGAAAGAATAGATACAGAGATTTAAGACAAAATCCACAGCAGCCTGGTCAGTGCTCAGGAAATGACCAGATGTTTAATTGAAAAGGGTATTGGCACTTGTGAGTCATGGTCAACAGTGACCAAAACTTAGCTAACAGAATCAAAAGAAAAATGTGTAAGTCTGTGTACAGGGAGAAATTTTAACTGGCACAGTACAAGAAAGGATCAGTTGGCATATTGTTGGAGGGGAAGAGTTGCAAGTAGACCTGGGAACGAGTAGGGTCAGAGGACTGAGCTTCACTGAGTCTCAGGGCCTCCGTCTGCCTCCTGCCACTGCTCCTCTTCTGCAGGTAGTTTCAACCCTGTTTCACTTCAGAGCAGCCGGTAATACCTAGAGTTCACATTTTACAGCTTCCCCATCTGAGAGTTTTTCTGATACACAAATAATCCAGAAAAGAATTCGAGTTTGTCTGCTTTGGGTCAGATGCCCACTCCTGTCTACTCAACAAAGATCTTGTGAAACTGAAGCAAGTCTTAGGGAAAGAACCTGTTGTTCTGTGGTGTTGGAGTACTCCTGTAATCCCTGTACTCATGAGGCTGAGGGAGGAGGGGTCTTATCTCAAAATAAAATTTCAAAAAGGCTGAGAATGTACCTGAATGTGAGATCTTGGGTTCAATAACTAGCACTGCAAAAAAAAAAAAAAAAAAAAAAAAAAAAAGCCTATGTTTCCATGAAGACTTACGAACTCCTCAGATAAAGGAGAACTAATTGGCTAATAGGAAGATTATCTACTTCAATGATTTCTGGCCAAAATGACTCAAAAGGCACTTGTTAAAATGCCTAAGTAACCTCTCATTTTATAGACTCTGAATTATGCTGTTGATGCAATTTAATTATTTAAATTGATAAAATTGCATATATTTATAATATGCAATGTAATTTTATGTAAGTATACATTGTAGAATGGCTAAATTGAACTAATTAACATGTATTATCTCACACATTTCCCTCTTTGTGATGAGAAATCTAAAATCTGCTTTCTTAGGAATTATCAGGACTACAGTGCATGATGATTAACAATAGCCATCAAGATTTATAAGAGCTCTCTTGAATGTATTCTTCCTAACTGAAATTTCGTATCTTTTGAACACATCTGCAGTCTGTCAGATAATAGTGCACTCTTTAAATGGCACATTATGCTGCCTTCTGTAAAAATAGTTTGCTTTTTTTCTTTGAGCTTATTATGCCCTATATATATATAATATGCATTATTCCTAAAATCTTACAGGGGATGTTATCCCTATGCTTAGGTGAAGATATTAATGCTAAATGATAGTTATAGGAATATCCTCTAGGTGTGCTTGTGTCTACAAACTCCCCAAAGCCATAATACAGCAGGCAAATGGCTTCTGGGAACCTCCAATAGCCCAGCCATTTCTGAATAAGTCATAGGAAAAGGAGCCCTTTCAGGTGCAGAACTCAGGAGTAATGCTCTGGAATTTTACAACTGCAGAGAAGCTCTAATTTAAGTCCTAGATGAAACCAGTAATATTTTCCCGATATTTTTTAAAAGGTGGTTTTGTTTTTGCTTTTAACCCTTGCTGACTGGCTAGCCCAATAGAGTTGGAATAAAATTGCAGGCTAAATTTGGAAAATATACCAAAACAACAACAACAACAAAAAAGAAGTTATGCAAATTCTACCCAAAGTAAAATGAAATACTTAAATTTGCCTAAAATTTGAGGATTGATTCTTAACACGTCTGAATTAGCTCGGTGTTAAGATGGCATTCTTCAATTTAACCATACGAATGAAGCCCTATTTCATTTGTGTGTCTGCCTAAATCCTTCGATGCCCTGATTGGAAGTTCTACTTTGGCTCTCTTCACTTTTCATCAGCACACAAAGATACTGAAGACTGTCATTTTACAAAAGAATAAAAATGGATCAACCATCCCCTTTAGAGTGTGAAATTCAGTGTGCATAACCTTCATGGCTATTTTTCTCTTTGGTTTTACAGCCTGAGAAAATGGCATGTAACCTACCAAACCAAAGACAGCGGTCTATGTCAACAAGTGGCGAAGCTCTATATGAAATTCTTGGTCTGCATAAGGGAGCATCAAATGAAGAGATTAAGAAAACCTACAGGTACAAAATGAGGTTCAGTAGTGATATTTCTTATGCTACCCATGATAGTTATTTTGTGCCTGGCTAGTAGCTCCAGTTAAAGGCATACGCTTCTTGGTGAGATCAAGTAAGCCTATTTTGGCCTCCACGTTCTCTACTCTGCAACATAAGCAGTTCAGAATAAACAATAACGATTATACAAAGAATTATCTAGTGATACCAAATCTCAGAAAAGGTCAGCAAGTATTTTAGGCTAGACAGAGAGGCAGGAGGGAAAGATGGAGAGGGAAGGACGGAAGGAGGGAGAGAGGATCAACAACAACCGATAGCTGTAATGTAACCCATGCGATACATTTCTAAATATGGTAGAAGGATCTTTCCCCTCCTTCCTTCTCCTCCTCCCTCTTTTCTTTCTTTGATAAAAAAGATTTATCATAATTACTTTCTTGTTAAGTATATTATTTAAGTCTTTAAGTTTAACCTTTTGTATCCGATCTACTACTAAGTTAATTACATGGAAGAAAAATTGAAATAACCTTTTATTTAGTGCTTCGGGGAATAAAAACATATGTGTATGTTACAAAAAAAATAGTCTATTGGAGAAAATTTGCAAATTACCAAAATTTATCCATAATTGTACCCTAGAAATAATTACCACTGATATTCTATTTCCTTCATTTTTCCTGTCGAGATATTTAAATTTTAAATTGAGTTCATCTGTATTCTTCAACTATCTTTTTAATAAGTCCAATAGTGAAAATACCTTCATGTTATTCTGATTTTAATGGCTATAGCCTATGGTTATTCTCTAATTTATTGCATCATTTTGTAAGCTATCATTTAACATAAATTCCTTTAATTTTTCCCTATACTTAAAATCCTTCTGTATAAATCATGATGGATATTTCCAATTATTTCCTTATTGAAGAATAAAGCTATCCCCTTAAAGGAAAAAGGTGACTATAATTTCAATGTTACTTCTTTATTTTATCTTGATTTCTTTTTTTAATTCATGAGTTTTTAATATATGAAAGTCAAAGTTTTTTAATATACAAATCTGTTAGTCATTTTCTTTGTGGCTTCTGTTTTAGCTGTCATAGTTAAAAAGCTTTACCCAATTATAATATCATTAAATACTAATCTCTGTCTACTACATTAATAATTTTGCCTTTACACTAAATTATTTGCCCATTTGGATTTTTTTTAATCTAAAAAAATCACATAGAAGTCTCAGTTTATTTTTCCAAATATTTAGCCCACAAATGTTTACTGAGTTATCCATTGTTATCTACTATGTAATGGAAAGTCTCTTGGCCATGTATTGGGCTTCACCATCTGTAAACGCTAAATTTCCCATGCTTTCAAGAAGCTGGTATTGAAGAATAAATTACAGTACTATAATTTGCCATTTGGATCCAAATAGTTCTGTGATAATGGTAGATTCTGATATTAAACCTCTGGTTTATATTTTACTTAGGTGATAGAGAAAGAGAAGTCTTTTTGTGTCATTTTGCCCCAGAGTTACCCAGAAAGAGGCTAGGCCCCCTGTTGGTGGAGGTACTTGTCTAAAGGTCATTATCCTGGACTCTTCAGCGTTCAGGCTGAGCTATTATACTAGGGCTTTCACATGGGAATGAATGAAAGCGAGTATAACGTAAACTTAATACTGCCAAAAATGCTCCCCAAATAAGGGGGAAAAAAAGTATCTAAGTATGTTGTGATTCTTAAAACTCCACTTTACAAATGTGATTTTTAATTGCCTTTATTAATTTTGGAAGCTAAAATTTCAGGTCATATCCTAATTAAGTCATTAATTATGCTGAGTTGTTTGCAAGTTTAATAATTACAACATAAAGTCTTTTCATGTAACCAGTGTCTTGCTATTAATTTTGTTTTAATGTCATACAAATATTATTTTTTCAGCTGATTAGGGTACTAGTATTCTGCCAAAAGCATCTACTTCTATCTAAATTGCACATTTGTATTCTACAAGTTATTCAAAATGTATGAGCAAGCTTCAAATCCACTGAGAAAATTATTCTTATATTCAGGGATCTGGATCACAGCAGTGATAACATAGTGAAATTAAAACTCAGTGAAATTTAATAAAATTACCAACTGTTGAATCCATAAGCTGCTTGACCTCTGTTATAATCATTGATTGTCTTCTGAGGAATAAGGTTGAATTAGAAGACTTCTTTTACATTTGATTTTTATGTTTACTAAAATGAGAACATATAAAAGATTTACAAAGAAAATCTCTCTCTTACCTCTGATCCCCCTAGTTACTTCCACATAGAAAATATAGTCTTTTCTACTCTTTGGGTCCCCACTTGACTGGTTTTATGCTTATATGAGCATAGATAGAGAATTTCCAGTCTGGGCAAGATGGCATAGATTTTTCTCTTCCTTTTCTTCCCTGCTAAGCATGACTAAAATCCTTGGAAATAACATAAGAGACCACCCAAAGAGAACTTGAAAGTTAGGAAGAGGAAGGTCAATTGGTTAGGAACCTCAGAACCAAAAGAACAATACAGCAGCACATCTTATGACTTCTACACCCCCATACATCAGAAGGTAACACAGGCCCCTCCCTTCCCAACATCCAATCTAGCAACAGAACGCATCTCAGGAGGCTTATTCTTCCTTCAATTTGTACAAGAATCCTGTCAATACTAGCCAAGCCCACAGAAACAGCAAGAGGTGCTGCATGAAAGTAGCCCTAACAATAATGGGCCAGAGGAAGTGCTTTCCTGTCTCACTAGCCTGAGACTCCTCTCTCCCTCCTGCAGACTTCACTTCCTAGAGGACATTAGGGAAGGACATTCTGCCACAACAGGCACTCAGCTCAGGAAGTATTTTTGGTCCCTTTCAGCTCCTCAACTACCATTACCAAGGGCTACGTTGCCTCAGAGGCAGGAGACAAACCATGCAGACCAAAATAGTACCATAAAGCTTTAGAAAACTAGATTGTCATTGGACACCCGTGAAAGTAGGCTAAGGCCTTGATAAATCTAGGCAGGGTGACTACCTGTTAAAATAAAATATTTAATTAGAATTCCAAGTCAAAATGTGTAATACAATAAAAATCACTCATCATAAAAAGACAAGAAAATCACAAGAAAAAGATTATCATTTGATTCCTACATTCACGAGACAGATATTTTAAAAGATTCAACAAGTAATGACCCCCAAAAATCATGAAGCAAGTGGAAACATAGAAAATCTCAATGTTGTTTGAAAAACAAATAGATTCAGAAAACTGAGAAATAACAGAAATAACACTAATGGGATGATCTTAATACTAGAGTGGAGATGACAGAACAGAATCAGTGAAGTTAAGGATAGAGCAATGGAATTTACTTACCCTAAGAACAGAGTGAAGGAAAACTGAAAATAAACAGTCTCAAGAATCTAAGGTTCTAGCCTGCCTCACAAGCGCAAGGTCCTAAATTCTATCCCTGGTACAAAAAAAAAAACAAAACCTATGGGGCAATAACAAAGGATTCAACACCTGTAGCTTTGGAGTCCTAGGTGGAGTGGAGAAGAGTATGAAATGCAAAGATCACTCAAAATACTGAAATTTTCCTAAATTTTGCAAAAGGTATACACTTAAGCTCAGAAAGCTGAGTGAATCTTGTTAGGATAAACCCAAAGAAATCCATGTTAACACAACATAGTTAAACTTCTAAAAACTTAAAATCAAAGAAAACATCCTGAAAGCAGCCAGAGAGAAACAACACATTACCCATTGGGAAACAATAATTTGAATGACAGCATACTACTCATGTGAAGCAACAAGGAATAACGGCACATTTTTTCAAGTGATGAAAGAAAAGAAATGTCAACTGCAAATTCAATATATGATAAAATTGTATTTAATGAATTAAAGGCAAATAAATTCTGAGATAGAGGAAATCTGAATTTGTCTCTAGTAAATCCACTGTTAGAGAATGATTTAAAGAAGTTCTCCAAATGAAAGGAAATGATAATCTTAAATCATCAGGAAGAAAGAACAATGGAGAAAAAATATGGGTAAATACAAAAGACATCTTTCTCTGTGTAAGTTTCTGAGTTATGTATGATGACTGACACATTATGTATGATGATTGGGAAGATAAAGGGGACCAAAATAGGAGTAATATTTTCATACTTCACTAAAAATAGAAAGACTTCCTAATGAATAGACTATAATAAATCGCTCTCTCAAACACACACACATACACAAACACTAAGAAGACTGCACAAAATAATACTCTAGAACATTACAAATAAACCAAATAAAACCCTAGAAAAATGTTCAAATAACCCACAAGAAGACAAGGGAAATGAAAAACAAAACAAAATAGAAAGAGTAGAGAGCTGGGTCTAGAGGTTCCATTTGACCCAGCCATCCCTCTGCTGGGTATCTTTCCAAAACATACGCAAACACTAAGAAGACTGCACAAAATAATACTCTAAAACATTACAAATAAACCAAATAAAACCCTAGAAAAATGTTCAAATAACCCACAAGAAGACAAGGGAAATGAAAAACAAAACAAAATAGAAAGAGTAGAGAGCTGGGTCTAGAGGTTCCATTTGACCCAGCCATCCCTCTGCTGGGTATCTTTCCAAAAGAATTTAAAAAATCATACCACAGTGATATATGCGCACCTATGTTTATAGCAGCACAGTTTGTAATAGTTAAAACTTGGAAACAGCCCATTTGCCCATCAGTTGGAAACTGGATAAAGAAGATGCGGTTTTTCTATGAAATGGAATACTACTCAGCCATAAAGAATGAGAAATTAGATTCATTCATAAGTAAATAGATACATATGGAGGATATACTCCTAAGTGAAATAAATAAGTCACACATATGTAAATACCAAATAGTTTCTCTTGTGCGAAAAACTGTAACAGTACATAAGATCCTAATGAGATAATTGACAATGTGAAATAGGAAGAAAAGGGCTAAAAGTGTAGGGAAAGTGGTAAGGGTAGGGGAAAGGTAATAAGGGAAAAGAAAAAATATGAGA